TTGAGATTTATTCTTCATTAACCTGCAATTAAAAGATAAAAACAATTATTAGTGGTATATTTATTCATATAAAATAGATAATGAGGGTATAAAATTGTAATAAAATATGATTATCACTAGTTTAAGTCTATTATTTAAAAAATTAACATCATTCAAACTCAAAGCCTTTCTCAAATCCTAGGATCTTAAGATCAAATTTTCTTAACAAATTTTCTAAGTGGTGAGTATTCCCACATGTCAAAAACTTGATGTGCAATTTTATTATATTCTGCAAGTGCACAACTTTGGTTGTAGCATTTATAAGTTGTCATATGGGCGTTATTCCCGCCTGTCGAAAACTTGATGTGTTATTTTATTAAATTCTATAAGTGTACAACTTTCGTTGTAGACTTTATAGGTCGTCCTATTGGAAGTATTCCCACCTGTCAAAAAACTTGGTATGTTAGTTTCTTATATTCTGTAAGTGCACAGCTTTCATTATCACCTTTAGAGATCATTAAGATGATAATGAAATTTTATTTTAAGAAAATTTTATTTTAAGATCCTACGGTCTTATTCTGCAAGTACACAGATTTCATTATCATCTTTATAGGCCATCCTCTTGGAAATTTTGTTAAAAAAATGATTTTAAGATCCTAGCATTTGAGAAAGGTTTTGAGTTTGAATGATGTTAATTTTTTAAATTAATAGATTTAAACTAGGTTACTTAGGCTAATTCCATTAGGTTTCTAAACTAGATCTTTTATTTAATCTCTTTATTTAATAGAACCCTAAAAGCACAAGGTATATTTTGATAGGAGTTATAGCCTATCAAATAGCCCTAATCTTTTATTGACTAGAACCCTAAAAGCATAAGCTATGTCTCATTAGAAACTGTAACCTATCAATTAGTTATAATCCTAGTGTTTCTAATTAATTAATCTAGACTTTCTATTACTATAGTTTAATCTCCTAAGTATAGGTTAGGCCTAATTAAAGTCTACAACCTATCAAATTATAATTAACCCTAGCTTTTATTAATCTAACTAACCAACTTCTTACTTAACCTAAATAGATCTTTTTATTGGTCTAGATTAGTTACCTAGCTTCGTTATCCTAAGCTTCCTAACGATAATTAGCTACTCATGACTAATTTAAGAGAAAAGAATAATTAAAGAAAAGAGAAAGAAATAGCAAGGCAAGAAAAATAAGAAAAAGAATAAGAAAATAAAAATAAAAAATTAGGCAACTTAGTAAACCGAAGAAACTAAAAAGGAAGAACTTGAACCCTAAAATAGCAAGTAAAAAGAAGAACTTTATTGAATTATCAAAAATTAATGTGAAATTGAATGTATAAAATATAACGACCCTAGACCCCTATTTATAGTATACATGAATCTCTCACAATCTTCAGATCAAATTTGATCTCCAAATAATTGTCATAACCATAGGATTCATTTTGGTCATCAATTAATTGAATATTTTTATAATACAAACAAGAGTATAAAATCTCAATAACTTCGGATTTTTCCCAGAATTAGATACTGATGATAGATTTTGAGAAATCTGCTAATTTTGATGGATCTATCTCATCGAGATAGCTGTTTTGATATATAATATGTTAGATTTTGATATCTGGATTAAGAGAAATTGCCTTTATTTGTAGTTGATAATTTAATCCGAATGATTTTATTTTTCTTGTCCTCCAAGTAGTAGAATATTTTCTTTTCTTCTTGATTCTGTGCTATAGATCTGATTGTTGCTTGATTGGTTCTTCTAGAATATGGGTTTTTTGGCTTCACTGGGCTTCATTCTCAATTTGAATCCCCTACTTTCTTTTTTCTTAACTTAGTCATCATACTACACTTTAGTTATAAATTTAATCCTTTTTTAACATTCGTTAAATATTAAGTGTTAATTTGTTGTTTATGACCATATTACACTCAGTTTCATGACAATAAAGGTCCATGTACTTTTTTTTAAATTTAGAACTCCTCTTTGGAATCTATATAAAATCAATCTAACATTGCTAACAGATTTATCACTCTCCAATGTGTAATATTAGAAACTCTTATGTTTGTAATAACATTTTTTTATGATTGTTGACAAAATAATAAATTTTCATGATTGTTAACAAATTAGTAATGAGATTTTAGTGTTTATGCATGACAACCATCAAAAATCAAAATTCTCATCCAAATATCATATGACACACAAAACTTTCTATCTACAATCATGCTAAAACTGACATAGTCGCAGGAAATGAAAATTGAATTCTGATTAGGAAAGAAAAAAGAGAAAAATTCTATACAATAAACAAAAATTATACTGGATATATGCTTCTCGTTTATGTTCATGGTGATGACTGATAACATCTAGTGGCATTTAAATGATTTAAGCAATTGTTATTAGCATGCTTTTCTCCTCAGTTTTATGAATGAGAATAACAGTGAGGTTAAATGGCACTTAAATGTGCTATAATTTCACCAATCTTGCACTCAAGTGATCCCTATTTCAATACCACACACTTAGATGACCCAGAGTATTTAAGTGCTCTAGATAATTGCTTCAAAGTTTCAAAATGTTGCACGATGGTGTCCTCTTGTTTACCCAATATTGCACGGTGGTGCCCTCTTGTTTACCCAATGTTCAAATAAATTTCCTCAGTTTGTGATTGGCCTCACATAAATACTCTAATTTTCTAAAAGTTTCTAAAAGTTTCATTTTAGTATCCTCTGTTATGTGATATTCTTAGATACATAGACAAAAGTCAACTCTGTTTGGTTTTTTTAACTATAGGGAATTCATCTGCAACACTTAACTACTTCGGGGCAATTTTTTTGTTCGGTTTTAAAATAGGGTCATTTAAGTGTAAGGTTCATGAAACTTTAGGGCATGTAAGTGCAAATTAGTGTAACATTGCAGAAAATTATATCGAGCATACGCTGTACCTAAACTACCGAATAATAGACGTATATTTACCACCGACTAATAGGCATTGACATGCTTTTCTTCCCCAGTTTTATAGTAAAACTAGACATCCGGTATATCCAAAGTTTTTTAGTACATGAACCAGAGTTTTTCTGTATCTCTTTTTTGTTTGAGACACAAATAAATTAACGGTCCATTTTTTAAGGAAGTGATGAGGTTGAGGTAGAATTGTCTTTTTAATTTGTATTTAATGGTATTTTTAACGGAAAGTTAAAATATGGGCAAAATGACCAGATTGGTATATTTTGCAGAGGCTTTGTGACATGTTGGTATATTTTCTTTTAGTTTTGTCAGATTGGTATATTTTGTCAACTCCGGCGCTAATATAGGCCTTAAGTTTGCCGGAGTTACTGTTTCCGGCCAACGCTGACGGGATTTATTGCATAAAACCCCTCATTAAAATCTCATCATGCTCCTAACCCCCCTCCTCCTCCCCTTCTCCCTCCTCCTGCTCATCCTCTTCGACCTCCCCCTTTCCCTCCTCCTCATCATCCTCTTCCTCCTCCTCCTCCTCCTCCTCTTCAACAAATCGTCGTCATTGCTTACGAAAGGGGCTTATAATTTGAGGGGCTTTTAGATATGCAGCTTTTAGATCTTAAGCAACTGGCTTCTCCCATTTGAGGGGCTTAACAATCTCCCAGGTGAAGTTAGGGTCCAAAATGTTCATAAGTTGCAGTCTTAAGGAACCTGCCATTGCCTCCTCTGTTGAGATCAAGGTTAATGGTGATCATCCCAGGCCTGAAATCAAAGTTTTCCTTCTCAATCTTCAAGATCTCCTGAAAATTTCCCCTAAAATAGGTTCAAGTATAGCTAACATTTCAATTGTGGAAATGAGAGAAAAGGATGCATCTTCAGATAAGTGTATGTCAATGACAGAGCACGATCCCAAAACTTTAAGGCTTCACACCTTAAAACTTTCAGCCTTGGCATCATCATCATCAATGCATTATCTCAAGTGCTCTCCTTCAAAACTAAATCATCCACTGCAAGATAACACCCATAGGAACAGGATATACAAGTTCAAATTTGAGATGCTATCAGATTGATATCAGATAATGTTGGAATACACTGTGGACTGGGATCACGGGCTTGATGACGTGCTCCTTGAGATCCGCGGCGATTTCATCGTTGGTGACAGTCTCGTCATGCTGGATGGAGATGAGCACGGTGTGGACACAGGGGGGGACCATGGCACCGTTGTCATTGCGGTACTCAACGGTGACCTGGGTCTTGCCATCGGGCATCAACCATGCACAGGTACCATTTTTGCGGAGGAGGAGGAGGGAGGAGGAAGAGGGGAGGTTGAAGAGGATGAGGAGGAGGAGGAAGAGGATGATGAGGAGGGAGAGGAGGAGGAGGAGGAGGAGGAGGGGGTTAGGAGCATGATGAGGCTTTAATGACGGGGTTTTATGCAAGAAATCCCGTCAGCATTGGTCGGAACAGTTACTCCGATCAAACTTAAGGCCTATATGACGCCGGAGTCGACAAAATATATCAATCTGGCAAAACTAAAAGAAAATATACCAACATATCACCAATCCTCTACAAATTATACCAATCTGACCATTTTGCCTTAAAATATGTCTTTTTGGCCAATGTATTTTAATTGGTAATCAGTAATCAACATCCGAGAATTTCTTTCACCCCGACTTGTTTGCGCTCCGCAGTAAGTCAAGAAAAGATGAAATGCTCGACCGCTCGTCCCTCTCCCTTCTCGCCCA